TACATATAATTAAAAGTTTTAATTAAAATAAAAAGTGAAATCTACCCTCCTTCTTAGTTCTAACCTAATTAAATTTTTATACCCGGTCGTTCCCCTTCGTGCTTAGTAACACAAGTAAGGTGATCAATTGCTGCATTTACTTGTAAAAATATATATATTTATATAGGAAGCGAAAAAGCGCGAACACAAAAAACATGACATTAAATTTTCTTCTTCATAACAATCGTCAAAGAGAGTTAAAATATTGAATACAGTCTGTTCCCCATTTATTTGACCCTGTTATTTCAGGTAGAGTAAAGGCATTCTCTTTCTCGTGGTCAACACTCTTGTGTACAAAACAATGTAAGGAAGCCTTTTGTGTATATAACAATACCAATTCTGAAGCAGCCTATATGTCATTCCTATAAACGGTAACTCATAAATCGGCACTAAGTTGGTCATTTTTCACACCTGAGTTACCTATCCTTAAAACACAACATTGGAAAAGTCAATTATAAATAATTAAACATTTTAATGATGTAATTAAATGTATGCATAAGTTATTATCTTTTTTGATAATTTATGTACCTATAAATCTATCTATGCAATGTTTTTTACCATATGTGCAACTTGAAAAATTAGTTGAAAGGCCTACTATATAACTTAGCAGATTTGCTCTTGATTTCTCGAACTCCTGATCTCTCGAAACCCTTGATCCCTGTGAATTTTACCCTTGATACCTCGAAGTGGCTGTGTCTATACCAAGTTATAATGTTCAAACTTTTGCCATAACTGTATATCTGTGTGTCTGTCTGAGTGTCTGTCGTCAACTTAAACCTTCACCATAACTTTAGAACTATACGTCGAGATAGTGGCTTCATATTTAGTATGCATACTCCACTAATGAAGTGCTTTCAAATGGCAACAAGGACAATGATTATGTGATCTTGACTGTGACCTGTATGCTAAAAAAAATTGCATTTTCGAACTTTGTTGCTGTGTTTCACAAGCGCATCTTGGTTTAAGCTCTGCTGGTCAGAGACCATAGTAGCTTATGCAATAGAAATGCGTCCATCCATCTGTCTAGCTGTCCGTCTGACTGCAAAAACTCCTCCTCCTTATATTTTAGTCTGATTTCAATATAACTTGGCACACAAGTAGACTACACTAAGATACATAATTCTGTGCATCAGTTTTCGACAGAGACTTCTGGTTATTTTTTCTTCCATCCCGGTTGTTGCTAATGCTATTACATAATTAGTTTAAATTAGAATGCAATAGTACCTGGACATAATTTATCATTTCAGAGAGAAGAAAACTGTGACTTTAAAAGAAAACCAGTGAGATAAAATCATAGAAAATGTATTATGATTCAGGATGTGGTCATTTGGTAAGTGGTAATTCATTCATGATTAGTATGTATATGACAATTGCCTGAAAAAAAAGATTCTAAATTTTATTTAAATATTGAACTGTGGTATATCAGCTGTGAGCTACAAGAAGTTTTATGTAAAAGCTAGGGCTGAAACAATTTGCCCCCTCCATGTTATGTGTGTATTGCTATGATTGACATACAATCAGTTCTCTAATACATACACTTCAATAAAACTTTGTCGTCTTGGACCTGAATTGAAAAGCAAAAAACTCTTGAGATCTCTCCAAAAATTTGAATGAAAAAAAGGAAATGCTTATTAACTGAATTCTTGCTGGTCAGTATTTTGATTACTTAAAGGAAGCTCTAAAAACTGCACACTAAAGAGTTCTACTTTAATATCAGGTAGTTTTATGAAGTTAGAGTGATCTGCCCATAGATTAAGATTATGAAAAATGTTAGATTATTTTTAATAGATTAAATTATTTTTAGCATTATTTAAAATAAAAAAAAATAGGAAATTAATTATTTTCATAATTTTTTCCAATGTAAGTAAACAGCAATGATTTCTGCTTACAGATAGTCCATTGTCTTTGAAAATTTCTTGGGGGAAATGAGGCACATACCATATGTTCTAAATGAATAAAAAAGGCTCATTATGCATATATTTATATGAAATATGATAGATTTTTTTCTCTTAAAGGAATAATTTCTGCAAGTCACTAAGTTTTTAGAGTTTCCTTTATTTTATAGATATTCAATGAAATTATTTGAAGTATTAAATTTTGGTAAATTTTATGATACTAAAAGCTAGGTTATATGGATGAAAAAACAGCATGCGTGTATGACAATAGGGCTTAAATTTTTAATGTCTCTTAATTTTTCAGTGACATTAAAACAGGAATTGTCATCACCAATAGACGAATTTCACATTCCTAAGAGTTTTCTCCAATTGTCGGCGTATCGCTCATTTTTCCAACTTTGTCCTTTGCAAGTTACTTGTTAATATTTTCAATCTTCAAAAATATTGGACAATTACGATCTGTATCTGTATTGCCAGAGTATGGGGGCAACATGAAAATCATAATGAATATGTTCATACAGATTTTATTTCTAAGATATTGTCCCTCAAAGTTGATACGGTTAAAAAGGGAAAACAGCGTCTTAAGCCGGTTGACCCCAGATCGACCCTGCGAAGGGGAATAACTTTTGTAAATGTGAAAGTCCTTTATGGTATACATGTATCATATAGATCTAAAACTGACTGAATTTTGATCAGCCAATTCATGAACATAGTGAATGTATGTAAGTAATGTTGGTCAATATATGTAAAAAAAAATTCAATTACTTGTTTATATATACATTTGTGGTATCTCTCCCATTGAAGTTTATAAACTTGTTATTTATTTCTAAAATAAACTGAGCGTACATGCAATACCGGTATAAAATTACTCATAAGATACATGTATACTTAAATAAATACTTATGATAAAATCATATGTGTCCAATGCAGCATATGATAAATCATTAACATACAAGAACATGTGTATATATACTGTATTAATACATATATATTGCATTATTTTTATAGGTCCTGTTCTGTGGATGCCCTAAGACAGTGTCTACCCATCACTCCATCTGAAATCACTTGTTCTGTGCATATTTCTCTCTCAAACTTAAACTACAGAGAGCCTGTGGAGTGTGGATAGAGGATGAAGAGTGACCTTGGACTAATTTTCTAGGTCTAAAGTTAGTATCAAAATCTACTGTATATCTTTATTTAAAATCTGGTGTAATCTAGCTTTTGTGCAATGGGATGGAGGGTCTGCAATGACCTTCAACCAATTTCTAGGTCGAATATCAAAATTTAAAAAAAAATCTCTCCCTAATATTTTTGTTATTATAAAGGGTATGTTTTCTCTCAAACTAATCAAACTTAAAGCAGGGTTCTTAGTATGAGATACATAGAGTAATATATTCTCAATGACATAATAAGGCTGAAAACATTATTTATATTATGTTATTTTTTTTCACTTATCATAAAGCATTAAAGCCATATATGGCGTATGTGCAGTGAAAATTATTAGACTAAAATTATAAGAACTTATTATTTGTATCATTACTTTATATAAAGATAGAACTTTTCCGTAAATTACAAAATCTAAGTCAATTGCGTTATAAAGATATCACAATTTAAATTTGATTCTCGGAATTTTCTCCGTATCGGAAGAAAATACAAAAGATTTAAATAACACATTACAGAGAAGATAAAATTGTATTTTTATGTGAAACGAGGTGTTCTCCGTGTTCAGAATTATACGAAAAGCTTTAATTTGAATGTATTAACTATATTTCTTTACTTAATTTTGTATTTTTCAAAAATATATATTTTTTAGATCAGTTACGCCATATATGGCTTTAAATATTAAAGAGATACATTAAATGCTGAAATCATATGTATCATGGTCATGGAAAGTAATTATTGATATTGGTATATTAAAGGACATTGACTGATCTCTCAGATTTCTAAGTTATATTCAAGCATTATAATTCTGACATCATATAATAATTTTGTATGAATATTGCAGATCATAGGTGATGTGAAGAAAACCAGGAAACTGATGTTGAAAGAAGTACTTAATGACCCTTATGAATGGACTTAAATGTGAAAGACTGTTCCATTGTTTATCTAAGATATATGAATTAATTGAATATTTTGATATCATTGAAAAATTCAGTTACAGTTTTTGTACATCAGATGAATTATTAAACATATAAAATAGTAATGCTTTTTTTCTTTTACATGTAATAAATTTTTTTGATAGATTTTTAAAAGAATACCCATTATTTCACATTGCTTCCTTAAGAAAAGTTAGGGAATCTTGAAGTTTCCCAGTAATTTCCACCAGGAATGGGACTCTAGATAATTCCACCAAGTTCCGCCACAAAGAAAGTGCTACACAAGTTCCACATGGTTTCCTGAGTCAAGGAAACTTCAGGAATCATAAGGTTTCATGAGCTTCCATGCAGTTTCACATAAAAGAAAACCTTAAGATTCCATCAAGTTTCCATTCCACGGAAACCACTACGCTCATATTCCGTATGGTTTCCCGAGTCAAGGAAACTTTAGGAATCGTGAGCTTTCCAGAGCTTCCATGTAGTTTCCAGTATAAGGAAACCTAAAGATTCCATCAAGTTTCCATTCCACGGAAACTACTATGCTCCGATTCCATGTGGTTTCCTGAGTCTAGGAAACTTTAGGAATCGTGAGCTTTCCCGAGCTTCCATGTAGTTTCCCGTACAAGGAAACCTAAAGATTCCACCAAGTTTCCATTTCACGGAAACCCCCTACGCTCCGATTCCATCAAGTTTCCTGATTCTGGAAACCGGTGGAATCTTCAGGTTTCCCATTACGGGAAACTACATGGATGTTCGGGAAACTTCAGGTTTACAGAGGTTTCCGTGGTACGGGATACCTTATGGAATCGGAGCGTAGGGGGTTTCCATGTCACGGAAACTTGGCGGAATAACCTAGCATCCGCTACGGAAACCACTGGGAAACATGATGTAAACTTGAGGTTTCCATGTGGTTTCCATAAAGTTTCCCATGATGGGAAACCACTTTTTTCACCCAGTGCGTTATACTTACAACGTTTACTGATCCTGTCATGAATCCCCCTGTCAGACATGGTACAGTGTGTGATGATGTCCAGCTGTAGTTTGTCTATAAAGAGGTCGTACATCTTCTCCGGCTCCTCCGGTACATACAGACATCTCTCTCCCTCACTCCTCTTATAATTCCAGAGTCTGCAGTATTCTGAGATCACATCACGTGACGCCGTGGTCAGGAAAAACTCCAGATCACTGTCCTCCACCAGACACTCCGTAACAAAGGCGTACATGACGTCATGTCGGATGTCGTCTGATATAAAGGTTATCACACCGTCACGTGTTTCTGTGATTTCACAAGGAAGATCTACCGAGCTGTCATCAGTAATATCAGGGAAATACCTCTGTCTGATTTTGTCCTTTGTGATTCTGTGTGATTGTTCAATGAAACTAATCCAATATTTATCAGATATAAGTAAACAATAAAGTTGACATCTGACTTCCGGCTCATAGCTATGGATTTTACCTGAAATGACAAACAAATAAATAAATTATGAATCACCAAACAAATTAATTAATAAAAAAAAATTAATGAATTGTTTACATTTAGTCTAACTACTAGCATATGGCATGCACTCCAATCTTTTTCTTTACACTGTATGTACACGCATATATTCATTCCTATTGACGAGAAGTTTTAGAGTGTGAACCATCCCACCCCACCCCCACTATATAATTTTTCAATTGCTACATTTAACGATCGCTGAATAAATGCGATTAAAAAGATGAGGACATTTATTATAAATTTAAGAATAATCCTGAAATGCGAATACAAATCTGTAAAAAATGATAGTTTTATTCTTAATAATAGCTATAAATTGATATAACGTTTTGCTTTCGTCGCCCGCGAGACTCAGTGATTCGAGCATCTGCTTTATAGTCCAGGAGTAGGGAGTTAATTCTTTCTGAGACACCAGATTATTTTTCTTGTTTGTTGGACATCTGATGACAAAAGAATTAAGTAATAATATTTTTACTTTTCTGAAGGATATATTTTGGAACCTGAACAAAATTGAACGTATATTTGTAGTATATTCCCCCTACCTTATTTTTCTTTTTTTTTTAGGGGTACATATAGCAGAATGACGATGAGTACGAAAATGGAGAGGAAATAAAAGGGAAAAAATATATCAATAAGACATTAATATTGTAATTAGGCGATGGTGCATGAGGAGCATATATACACAATCATGTTTAGGAGGATTCGCAGAAACTGCAGGAAAAATCGAAAGGGGGGAGTAATTGTAACATTTCATATATTGAATTTAAACTTTAACGGAGCTGATACCCCCCCCCCCCCTCTTCCTACAAAGTCTACGAAATTTATTTTTCCATTTACTGTCATATGTTTTTTTTAGCTTATAAAGGAATTTCTGTATTTTTGTGCCAAAGCAATTCAAAAATCAATTTCTTGGACAACACATTCCTGTCTTTGTCAACTGAAAAATGAAATACCCAAATTAATAGATTCTTGTTTCTGCCCCCCCCCCCCTCCCCCCAACCACAACCCCCTCCGCCCTACACATAGACACACACATGAAGACATACATCCGGTCCACTGAAAAAACACACTTTTTGAAAAGGAGGATGACAGCAAGAAAGAAAAAAAAAATAAGTAACCTAAAAATAGAAAAAAAATATTGACTTATTCTATATTTCTATATATTAACGATGAATAGTGCTTGTAAATGCACATAATACTGTAATGATGAGTATGCTTGTTTGTTGATTAAGACGTTTCACTTCAGAATATTTCACTGATACACTGTTACATAGACACAATCATTCGCCGCAGGGAGCTTTAATTTGACCTTGGCACTGAAGGCCACTGAGCAGTGAGGGATCGTTTTCGTTCCAGCAACTTCCACAACAATTTAAGGGACCCCGTTTTAATCGGTGTAATTTAAGAACACGTGTTCACGTCCCTCAGTGGAATTAGATCCCGTGACATATATAAGGATCAGACGAGAACTATTCGTTTCATCCCTACATCCATTTAAACTTTTATATACTGTAAAAGTGGTTATATTGGCGGTACGAAAGTTTGACGATTTTTTCATCTTAAAAAATTGACGAGAGAAAACTTTGACTAATTTTTAATTGTGCAAAATAAATGAAAATTTTAAAAAAAATAGTTATATTTCTTTCATGTCTCACACCTTTACCAATTTCTGAATACGAGTATCGTCGACAAAGCCTGTGGCTACTAATGAACTGATGTCAAAAAATTATCAAAGCGTAGTTTTTGAAGTTCATTTTGACGCCAGTAAGAATGTTACGCTGGCTAAAAACAGCTGGGCCCAAACCTGGGTTACCAGACCCAAATGTCGCCAAGACCCCAGAAAAAAAGATCTTAAAGAAAAAGTAAACCTAATGGTTGACACAGAAATGAATTGTTCTAGTCCCCAGGGGAGGAAACGGAAACGTGGACAATATGAACATTTTTCGCCGGAGACAAAGGCCAACATTGCGCGCTACGCTATACATAATGGAGCGACCAAAGCTGCGAAACATTTTTCATCTGTGCTTTGTAAAAATGTCCATGAAAGCACTGTTCGCCAATTCAAAGCTTCGTATATCATGAAAACTAAAAGTAACGATGGAGAACCACCCACTGCTTTAACCCCGAAAAAAACCGGAAGACCGCCTTTGCTCGGACATTCCTTGGATAACGATGTACAGGATTATATCCGAGACTTGAGGGAATCGGGGGAGCTACAAACACAAACATCGTTCGCTGCATTGGAAGAGGTGTGATACTTCACAAAGAAAAACATTTATTGGATGAATCTGGGGGGCCTTTATCTCTTACAAAATCCTGGGCACGATCAGTTTTCGAAAGAATGAAACGGAAAGCAAGAAAAGGAATTAAGCATGCACCTGACGACTTTGATCAAATCAAATCAGACTATTTAAAATTAATAAATTCACAAATCGAAAAATTTGAGATTCCAGAAGATTTAGTATTTAACTGGGATCAGACAGTGTGTGCAGTACCTGGATTTTCATCGTGTCTGGTCATTTCAGTCAGAAGTCCGTATTTTTTTTTTTTTTTTTTTTTTTTTTGGTGTGTTTTTTTGATGAAACTGATTTTTTTTAAAATAGAACAAAATGCTTCCTTTTGCACTAAAAAATGACACAAATGTTTTTTCAGGCATAACAACAATCAACTCTTCTTGCATTCAACAGGTCTATGGAAGGATAAAGGTGAAACTTTTAAAATGAGGATACAATGTAGGAGCCTTTGTAACGCGACATAACTCGTACGTATTATGGAGAGATAACTCTTGTCTGCCACCCTGTCAGTGGTACCAGATAGCAAATTTATACGACCTGAGACATTTTCACCAAGTTGATCTAATATTTTTTGCACTAAAAGATGAAACGATTGTTTTAATGCATAACAGTAATATCAAATCTATTTGTATTCAACAGGTCCATGGAAGGATAAAGGTGACACTTTTAAAACGAGGGAAGGAATTCATGTATATCGCCTTTGTAACGCGACATAACTCGTACGTATTATGAAGAGATAACTCTTGTCTACCACCCCGTCAGGGGTATCAGATAGCAAACTTATACGACCTGAAACATTTTCACCACCTTTCACAATAAATAATGCGGAATACATGTACACTTAAATACAATAGAAAAATAAAAGCAAATGAAAATCCCGTTAAAGAGAAAAAAGAATAATTCTAATTTGGATTAATATTTAAACAAGTTTAATTTTACAATATTTAAAGCGAAATTGATAGAAACAGACTGATACTTTAACTGACATTTAGATTTGCAAAATACAAAAAAAAACCAAGGCTTCAATTGAAAAAAAAAAGATTAACATTGGCGTCGAAACAAGGGAGGCTAGGGGGGGGGTCAGTCCCATACTTTTTTTTTTCAAACGATAGGAATCATATAGATAATAAACATGGGAACGTATGTATACACCCCCCCCCCTACACACACACACATACTCGTACACTTACAACACACACGTTGCAGTTTAGTTAAAGTTAAAAAATGGTAAGTCGTAGTGTTTGAAAGATAAAAAATGGTCATGATAGAACTTATCTCTCAAAACCCTAATTCTCTCCTTTATTTAAGTAGAAAAAAAGACACCCTTTATTTTTAGATCTCTGTCCACACATACAGGTAGATTTAAGTAATATTTATTCAGAATACTGAACAGATTGGGCAATAGGCAAACTACCTCTAAATCATTTTTCTACACAAGGTCACGGGTAACTAATATAATGAACTGAGCTAATATAAATTTATAGTTCCGAAAGCACACATATAACTAAAGAACTAACTTCATTTTTGCTAAAAAATCGAACTTTCTTACTTGGTTTTCTGTGAGGTTTGTTGTCGATGATGTATATGTCGTTGTGTGGATATAGACCTATACAAGATCTCACGATATCAGGTCTTCGGTATCTCCAGAGCCACGTCACGTGATCTACACTGTCCTGTGATCTTCCTCTGTAATGTACAGCCTCCCCTTCTCTTCTTAGTTCCGTTAAAAAATCTTTTCGTTCATCTTTACCCTTCTTAATTATATTTTCTGGGATATTTACTGTAGAAAAAAATATACCGTTTATATCAAACATTTACACTGTAGTACCATTATGTATATATACATGTGTATAGGTAAAGATACAATAAAATTATAGATTTATTAAACATATTCGATCAGTTACTTCTATTATAATATGTTATCTAGTAGCATTAAACTGTAATTGATGAAGCTACTACAGTACAAAGCAACTAAAAAAAAGAAAGTGCTTTATTATAAATGTATAAGTGTTTCTACTGATAACTTTTTAACTCTGAAATGTAATCCAATTATTTAAAGAAAGTTCTTGAAGAAAATTATAACAATTTACAATTATTTTACCCTGACTTACATATCTGGTGTATCTCATCATATATCTTTGTGTCTTCCATGGTGACGTGATTCAGTATGTTCATCTGTAGACGGCGTATCAGTAAGCGATCCCGGCGAGGACCACAGACACACTTCTCTCCAGGTTTTCTGTTGTATCCCCCTGATCTCAGGTACACGCTGGCTGTATCAAAACTACTGTAAAGGAATGGTATATAACTGTTTTTTGATGCTATCCTATACATTGTCTCATCCTTTGTGTCCTCCGTTATCTTGTCCTGATCTTCCCAAAGGTAATCACGTGACTTCAGTCTGTCCAGAGTCTGCTGTGCTTCCTCACGTGTTACAGGATTCTGTTTATAGTACACTTCCTGTCGTATCCCATTAAGCATGTCCAGCCACTCTGTGTCAGTGAAATCAGGGGGACCGGAGTCAGAACACAGAAAACAGAATAACACCAACACCTCGTCACCAGTCAGTTCAGAGAACTTATCTATAAAACGTGTAGTGAACATATACTGAGAAAAAACTGACAATAAATATGATACATATTATAGTTTTAAGGACGTCCATAATTTAGGTGATTTTTTTAATTCATTTTTCACCTTTTTTTTCTTTTCATGTAACTCAATTCAGCTTTCTTCACTAGTATGATAGCAATGTTTCAAAAAGGGAAATGGTACGTATTCTATATAGATTTAAATCTGATTACCAAATTATTTGAGAAGTGTTTTAACAATCAAAACACATGTAACGACTAGTACCATGCTTGATACTGTTTAGAACTTATTCAAGAATAATTTACCTATTTGTATTCGAAGATTTGGAATAACTGAAGGAAGATATGTGGAAAATTCAAATATACATAAAGTAAATAAAGGAAACTTTTTTTTTAAAATGAGAAAAATTAAGATTGTATATTTGATACCTTCATTTACATGTATATTATCTCGTCGTAAGTTTAGTTGCATTGTAAATCAAAAAGAGAACACAAAAATAATATTGGTATTTCTGCCTTTTCCTTTATTCTGAAAATATTTCTTAAAGTCTTGTACATATTTAGGTTATATTTAGATAAATTCATGTCAAACCCACATGATTTACAGAAATATCATCCAAAATATAATATGACAGGTCCAATTTAAGATTTAGAGTCTCCTTCTTTATGATTACATGTTCAGGGAGGGGGTATATTTGTACTATATTGATTTATTTATAAAAAAAAGATTTATATTAAATAAAAACTATATATAGTTTTTGAACGAATATTTATTGGAACAAGCTAGTTCAGAAAATTTGCGTCCCCCGCTTCGGGATAAAAGAAGAGCATAACCAGTTCGGAGGGGAGGGGGTACGACCATCCCCCCCCCCTTTTGTGGAATTATCAAATTTTTACATGTATATTCAATCAAATTTTATATTTAAAAAATGCCAATTTCGATATAAAGATTTAATTGCTTATTATTTATCATATGTTTAGAAGGTTTTTTTTATATATAGAATATTTATCACAGTGTAATCATGATTTTATGAGTTTATACAAGCAGACGTCATAACTTTTTTTTTAATTTTAATTCACAGGTGATTACTTTCAATTACTTAGTAAATAAAAAATAATGTAAAATAATATTTTTAAAAAAGCTAGGATCTTCCGAAGTTTGACCCATTACCTCTCACATGTTAAGCGAGCGCCTTACCTCTGGACCACATTTCCTCAGGTTGTTATGCAAATTAAATGCAAACATGGGATCCATACATGTAAATATTCACGTTTGATATGGACAAAAATTTTCACAAGACCTACATGCAAGCTTATGAAGCTATATTAGGACTAAGGCATCATTTCCGACGAACTTACGACAATTCTTAGTCTTAAGTTAGACCATTAAATCTGTCCTGTTTTAGTGGACCTCTTACTTCATACATGTATTCTTAGTCCCTGTTTTAAGACGATCGCGAGCTTCTCCCAAGACATCTCTTAAGTGATTTAAAGAAGCCATTGGACCAGGAAAACAACGAAGAATTATTTGTTTGCATAAATTAGTCAAATATTTGTTGTAATGTACTATTGTTGGAAGCAATTTAAATTGAAAGATTGGAGGGCAGCCGTACATTTTCAGTTGTGGGGGTGGGGGGCACTTTCAACTACTAAGAATTCCCTGAGAAGCAAAACAAAAGGGTCCATGGGCCACCCGGCTCACCTGATTAACTTTGGTCATACTATTCTTTAAGATTTCCTCTTTGTAATACCTAACCTACTGTGACCTGTACTACCCCCCACTGGGATCATAATTTGGATAATGTAAAATCTACACTACTCCAGGAATCTTTCACATAAGTTTCAGCTTTTCTAGTCCAGTGGTTTTTACATGCAAAAAGAAGATTTTCCCATGATCACACCCTATTTTCTTATTTTTATTATTTCACAGTGTTGAGGGTCTAAACCCATCATTTTTACAATTTTAACACCCCCCCCCCCCCAACCCCAGGATGCTTTGTACCAAGTTTGGTTAGAATTAACCCAGTGGTTCTCGAGAAGATGTTGAAAATGTTTACAGCGTTTATTCCCCATTTTAGAACACGTGAGTTATCGCCCCTCAAAATTGGAACTCTTCAACACCAGCATAACTTCCGCCGACTACGCATTTTGATAATCCAAGAAAATAATGATCAACTTACACGCTGCGTTTAAAAATTTTAAAAGAAGGAAATGGTTTGCGAAAAAGATTTAGATAATTAGCGATTTTATAACGGATCTGTTAGCCCTCTTTTAGAAAGCGGTACCAAATAGCAAGGCACCTAGCTTCGTATTTATAAAAGGGGGGGGGCAACCAGAGAATTTTTTTTTACCTACCTGGAAAAGTTGAGAAGCCAATGAAAATTTTTTAAAACTTTGACTAAAGTCGAAAAAAGCTCTTATATCGACACCAATTCCTTGGCTTAAAATACTACATTTCCATAATAAAACTTTACCGTAGTATAACCCCCCCCCCCCCCCCGTTGTTACGTGCCTGCTAGCTGGTTATTGTAATTTTTTCTTAAAATCTTATATTATAGATCTACGGGATACATGTTATTTATGGCTAAACAAAAGGATAATTTACAAAATATATGTAACCGGTGAAACTGGGAAAATTACTTTCGCTGGATGTCAGTTGAGTGTTTCAGACTTCAACTCAGAACTGATCATAAGAATGTTTCAAATCACCTTTCACGCGATTTTGATTGACAGGTGATGCACGTGGGTTTCGTACGTACAGCATGTACAGAGAAGGAATGTGTAAATGAGTTGAACAGTTGAATATGAAACAATGTTGTGGGAATTAAAAGTGATTAGAATTATTAATAATGTATTCAATATAGTTACAATATATATATATATATATATATATATATATATATATATATATATATATATATATATATATATATATATATATATATATATATATATATATATATATATTTTTTTTACATATGTCACCCCTACTAATGTTATTATGATTTAAATTCAAGACACGTTGTTTAGCTTTACCTATTTATAGTTTATAGGGTAGAACCGGTTTTATAAATAAAATTGGCAGTAAACAAGAAATTGCTATAGTCTGCTTCTTCTGAAATTAATAAATTTTATCGTCGTTTCCTGCAAAAATTGCAGCTCACTAGCGACCGATACCACTGTATGCAAGGTGTTAATCGAAAATCTACTTGATTTGGATCACTAGCTATATTTGTTTGGATCATTCGAAGTTTCTGTCTGCACATTTAGACAAAAAAATGTACTTTTATATACGTTTTCTTACAGATAATAAAACTACTTCAAACAATATGAGACTTCTTCTTGGTATATTTAAAGATTATCATGTTTTTGTTTCATCATCCCCTCTATAAACATCTTTAGCACGCGTTTTTCACGCATCTGATGGTCATTTTTCGACTAAACATCAACTGCAATGGACTGTTGACATTATTTCAATAAAACATTTATTGCATGTAATGTTTAATATGAATCTTTATCAAACGTAAGCTATCAAATTTGACTACAAGGTCTTCTTTTTATCTGGACAATTACAACAAATATGCCCCTACCCAACTTTTTCAAAGCTATTTTAGGTTTGCGTAGAAAATAATCAGAGAGCTATCTTTGTTTTCATGACAGCTATACTTTTTTCGAGTATACTTATAGCATTTAGGTCTAGTGCAATTAGTAAAATAATTTATTGACGTTACTTTGTGTTTACAGCAGTACTGAACAATATTTTCTTCCCCATACTCCTGTTACATTTCAACAATGGCCCAGTCCATAGGAGGTCCATGTGTCATATGCTCACCTCAAGCGTTTTATGCTCAATCGGTGAGTGTGACACATACGTATTTATATAAATTATAGAAAAAGTAGTGAGTGCTCTTGGTGAGTTACTTAGGTACGAAGGGGAGTACAAACACAGAGGCATCTGCATTACTTATTTTTCTTTTAATAAAAAAAATTATACCCCTATACCTAATAACATTTTAAACCTATCGGGAAAGTATCTTTTTTTCTTTCTAATGGAAACAATTGTAATAACGTTTTATTTCGTTAATTTATATATATTTAGTTCCATTTTTTTTCATTCTGGATCAAAGGATGGCTCCAGCATAAGGAGGAAACTGGAGGGTGTTACATTGTTGTCCATTACACTAAAAGATTCCAACACAAAAACCCTACTTTATGGTTGGGGATGGGGTCGGCTTAACTAGTTGGCAAGCTACATTCTTCCATATATATTTTCGTTTTGCCTATCAACGTATAGCAGTCATATCAACAAAAACATTCCAAATTAAAAATTTTAATTTTAACCAATTTACACGTACTATTGTAAAATTAAAAAAAAAAATAAAGATCGGTTTCAACTCTCAGACATTACATAAACACATGATTTGTAAATATTTAGCGGTATACTTATATCCATTCAAAGTTTTGATTTGAAAATAATGATTAAAACGCATTCAACTTCAAATCTTAATGCCACTTCGTTCATTTTCTAAGAACAAAGTACTCTTTAAGTGAAAAGTTCGCACGATTATTTCCCCAAAATTAAATATGAGTATTTAAATCTCTCTTTCATGTTTTTTATTGAAGTAACCCTCAAAGACACCAAATCATATCACAAAACAAGAAAACCAGTGCGCATGCGCACTACGCACTATCAAACAGATGTTGTACTTGGCTATTTTTGCCATTGTTTGCACATTTTAGCACCAGAAAAAGTCAAAATTCAATGCCTCCACAGTGATCGCCCACGATTAAATTTTGACAGAATGAATATCAGATGAAAGTTTATATTCAGTCTTAAGGTTTCGTCAAAGGTCAACATGTCTAAAAAATTATTTTTACAATTGCTCCAAAATTATGTGTGGAATGAAGTCAAAAAAATTACATTTTGTAAACATATCACTGATTAATACATAGAAAGTATTATATGATAACAACTATTTTTATAAAGATATTTT